TTATCCTGCTGGACCAATATTGTACCTTATAAATTTCCTCCTGTAGTTGCTTTAGATGAGCAGTGATTTGAAAAGCCTTCACCTGTTCCGTGAGAGCTTCACATTTCTGCCACAGGTCAGGCCCAGTCACATCTCCAGCCACAGCAGGCTCAGCCCCCGCGCACGCCGCCTGGGGCCTCCGGGCTCTTCCCGCCTTCGCTCCACTTTCCGCTTTGCTTTCCGGGGCTCCGCAGTGGCTGCCTTGGGCCCCGGCCTCTTCCGGTTCTTCACCTTGGCCATGACTGGAAGCCCTGTGGGAGGACCAAGATCCCGCGGCGGCAGCTCAAGCTGGGATGGAGGACGTGGCCTCCGGAGCCTCTTCGGGAAGCCTCGCCCCCTCACAGACTTGGTCCCGTTCAGACACCAGCCCTTTTCCACTCCAGGCCGGCTTCACAGCTTCCTGATGTCTTTCATTAGGTTGATTCCTAGGTATTTCAGTTTCTTGAATGCTATTGTGAAAGGAATAGTTTGCCCTATTTCTGTCTCACTGAGTCTGTTGTTCGTGTAGAGGAAAGCTATTGATTTTTGTGCATTGACCTTGTATCCACCTACTCTACTGAATTTGGTTATTAAGTCTAGAAGACTTTTGGTGGAGTTCTTGGGGTCTTCTATATAGAGTATCATGTCATCTGCAAATAATGACAATTTGACTTCTTCATTTCCTATCTTTATTCCTTTTATTTCTTTCTCTTGTCTAATTGCTGTGGCTAATGTTTCCAAAACTATATTGAACAGGAGTGGTGATAGTGGACATCCTTGTCTTGTTCCTGATTTTAGTGTGAAGGATTTCAGTTTTTGACCATTAGTATGATGCTGGCTGTTGGTTTTTCATAGATGGCTTCTATCAGTTTGAGGTAGAGACCATCTATTCTAAATTTTTTGTAGGGTTTTTATCATCAATGCATGTTGGATTTTGTCAAATGCTTTTTCTGCATCTATGGAGATAATCATATGGTTTTTGTCCTTGCCTCTATTGATATAGTGTATTACATTTATTGATTGCCTATGTTGAACCATCCCTGCATCCCTGGGATGAATCCCACTTGATCAGGGTGTATGATCTTCTTGATGATATTCTGCATTCTATTTGCCAGTGTCTTATTAAGGATTTTTGCATCTATGTTCATTAGTGAGATTGGCCTATAGTTCTCCTTTTCGGTTGGGTCTTTCTCTGCTTTGGGGATCAAGGTGATGCTTGCTTCCAGGAATGAATTTGGGAGTATTGCTTCCCTTTCAGTTTCGTTGAAGAGTTTAAACAGTAGTGGCAGTAGTTCCTCTGTAAATGTCTTCTAGAATTCAGCAGTGAAGTCATCAGGGCCTGGGCTTTTCTTAGTTGCTAAGTTTTTTTGGTTTTTTTTTTTGGTACCGGGGATCGAATTCAGGGCCTTGCACTTGCAAGGCAGGTGCCGGAACCACTGAGCTAAATCCCTGGCCTAGTTGGTAAGTTTTTAATTAGGTTTTCAATTTCTTTGATTGATATTGGGTTGTTTAGAATTTTTAGGTCTTCTTCATTCAGCTTTGGTATTTCATACGAATCTAGGAATCTGTCCATTTCTTCTGTGTTTTCCATCTTACTGGCGTCATTTAACTGTTTTGAACATGTACATCAGCGGTATTAAGTATATTCCCAATGTTGTTATACCATCACCATTATGCATTTACAGAAATTATTCATCATTCCAATTAAAAACTTGGAATATGTTAAACATTAATTTCCTGTTCTTATCCCCAGCCTCTTATAATCTCTAATATACTTTCTATTTAAGAATGTACCCCTTCTATGAAGCTAGACCCATATCTCTCACCTTGTACTAAAATCCAATCAATATGGATCAAATACCAAGGTATAAAAACAAAAACACTGAATCTGCTGGAATATGAAATAGATAAAACTCCTAAAGTCATCAACACAGGCAAGGACTTTCTGAACAGAACCTCAGTCACACAAAAGATAATACCAAGAATTAACAAATGGGAAAATATAAAAAAACTCCAAAGCAAAGGAAACCTCCAACAGAATAAAGACACAACCTACAGAGTGGGACAATTTTTTTCCAGCTACTCCTTTTACAGAGGACAAATATCTAGAATATATAAAGAGCAAAAAAATTAGACTCCCCTCAAACAAACGATTCAGTCAAAAATAGGCAATTAAAACGAATAGATACTTCTCAGAAGAAGAAGCACAAATGGTCAGTAAGTACATGAAAAAATGCTTTGCATCTTTGGCCATTAGAGAAATGCAAATCAAAACAACATTGAGATGCTGTCCTACTCCAGAAAGAATGGCTGTCATCCACAACTCAAAAAACAACAAATACTGGCAAGGTTGTTGGGCAAAAGGAACCTCTTTACATTGTTGGTGGGAATGTAAACTAGTATAACCACTCTGGAAATCAGTGTGGAAAATTCTCAGAAAATTAAAATAGAAATTTTATTTGACTCAGCTACACCTCTTCTGGGTATCTTCCTGAAAGAGTTAAAGACATCACACCACTGTGGTCCACGCATACCCACAAGTATAGTTGTACAATCTTGGAAGCGGCCTGTACAGCCATCAACAGATGGATGGATGAAGGAAGCGAGGGTTTATACACAATCAGTACTATTCAGCCATAAAGATAATTATGATAAATTTTGAGTCATTTATAGGAAAATGGATGCAGCTTGACACCATAATGCTAAGTGGAATAAATTAGATGCAAGAACGTTAAATATCACATAGTATTTCTTATATGAGGAACGCAAAACATAAATAATTTAAAGAGCAAAATAAAAGATAGATGATAAGAAACAGAGGTAAACTGTGGGGGAATGGGACGAGGTTCTGGGGATAGAGGGCGATAGAAGGGTGGGGAGGGGAAGGAGAAGTAAAAATGAGTAAGATGGAATATGTATATGTACCGGTTCCCCAAGATGAATACATATACTAATAAAAAAGAATGTGCTCATTCTAGATGCCACATATAAATGGAACAGTACAATGTTTGTCCTCTTATGTCTGCATTACTTCACGTAACATAATGTCTTCAAAGTGTATCAATGTTCTAGCCTGTATCAGAAGTTCATTCTTTTAAGGATGAGTAATATTTCACGTATGTAGCATGGTTTGTTCATTCATATGTGGATGCAGATGCGGGTCACTTCCACCTTTTGGTAGTGTGAAGAATGGTGCTGTCTACTTTGACATGTGAGTATCTGTTAGTCTCTGCTTTCAACTCAGAGGACTATGACCCTCGCAGTGGGCTTGCTGGACCCCATGATAGTTCTGTTGCACATTTTGAGGACCCACAAACTGTTTTCCACATAGAGTTGTACCATCTTGCATCCCTGTCAGTGAGGCACCAGGTCTCCAACTTCTTCTGTCCAACCAATTTGTTTGTTCCTATTTCTCTTCTGAGAATTGCTACCTTAATGGATGAGAAGTGGTCTCTCATTGTAGTTTTGATTGGAATTTTGCAAATCACTAGTGATGCTGAGCATCTTTTCATGCGCTTATTGGCCATGCGTATATCTGTGGAGCTATGTCTACTCAAGTCCTTTACCATTTTCAAATTGCATTAGTTGTATTGTTTTTTGTTGTTGAGTTGTAGAAGCTTCTTATATGGTATGGATACTAATTGTTTGCAAATATTTTCTCTGATTCTTGTGAGTTGTCTTTTTACTTAATAATGTCCTTTGCACAAATTTTTAAAGTTTTTAGGATGACCAATTTATTTATTATTTCTTTTGCTGCCTGTGCTTTTAGTATTGTATTCAGGAAATCATCACCAAATCCAACATCATTAAAATCCCCCCATGGTTTCTTGTAAGAATTTTTTAGTTTTAGCCCTTATGTTTAGGCCTTTGATCCACTTGGGGTTATTTTTTATACCTGGTATAAGATAGTGGTCCAGTTTTGTTTTTTGCATGTGATGTCCTTTTTCCAGCACCATTTTGTTGAAGGCTGCCCTTTCCATATTGAATGAATGGTCTTGCCACTCTTGTTGAGACTCTTTTAACCATATAGGCAAGAATTTCTTTGGGGCCTCTTGATTCTATTCTCTTGGTGCATGTGTCTGTTCTTATGTCAGTACTGTGGTGTTTTGATAACAATAACTGTAGTTAGTTTTGAGATGAGAAGCATGAATCCTCCAACTCCGTTCTTTTTTGAGACTATTTTTGACTCTGAATTTTACTCCGATTTGTCAGTTTCTACAAAAAATGACATTAGGATTTTGATCGATTGTATTGAATCTGAAGATCACCTTGGGTTGCGTAGTCATATTAACATTGGGCTTCTGGTGGTTTTGAGATATTGTTATGTTTCCTCCAAGTTGTCAAATACATGAGCACATATTTGTTCCTAGCATCCCATCATGCTTAATGGCTACAGAACTGGGAACAACATCTCATTTCACTCCTTATATCAGTATATTATTACCTCTCCTTTTACGTCTTTTGGTAAGGCTAGAGGTTTATCAAAATTATACTTTTTTTCAAAGAACAAGCTTTTTGTTTCATTGTCTTTCCATACCACTTTTCTGTTTTCACTTTCACTGATTTCTGCTCTTGTGCTTATTACTTACATCTGCTTGCTTTGGTTTGGTTTTGTAGAATATTGAGTTAAGAACTTGGATTATTGATTGGAGACTTTCATCTCTGAGCCTTTATTGCTATAAACTTCCATCCGAGGACTGCATCAACTGCTTCACACAGATTTTGATACAGTGTGGTTTTATTTTCACTTAGTTCTCTATATTTTTAAAAATCTCCTTTGAGACTGTGACTATTATTTTCAAGTGTGTTGTTTAATTTCCAAGCCAGACTGGGCTCAAGCCAGCTCTTCATGCACCGGACCTTACTGTGCATCTCTGGGGTCACATATAGGGGCTTCAGGAACTGACCCAGGAGTGCCCCATTCATGGCAGTCTCTCTCGTTATTAAGGGTGTGTCCTCTGCTGTCTCCCCTCACCTTTCAGAGCAATGGGAGCACCACATCACCACCACAACCAGGAGGCCAGGGGCAGCCAAGGCCCCCGCAAATCCTGCAGGTAGGCACCACTTTGGGGCCAGGCCGAGGGGCTCCTGTGTTCCCTCCTTGTAGTGGGATGCACTGACTGTTTCTTTGTTTGTTTCCCCTGGAAGTCGATGACTTTAACTTGGCTGATGGTTTGGATGATGGAAATGACCGAGATGATGGCCCAAAGAAGCCCAGTGCAGCAGGAGAAGGTGAGTCCTGGCTGCTCAGAAGCACTCTGGGCCTGGTGGAGGACCCTAAAACAGTGTTGCTTGCGTTTTCTGCTCTTTGTATTGCCAGGGGGAAATCCTAAATAAGCCCATCTAGTCTCACTTGCTCTTTGTTGACTTAAAACTCACTGATTTTGGAGGTCACACAGTTAGTCTCTCAGTAGCTTGGCTGTAGATGACACCTCTGCCATGTGGGTTACGGTGGTTACCGTTGCCTAGGTTACTCTTCAGGGCCTGGAAGGCTGCTTTTGCTGCAGACACTGACTCTTCATGTGGGTCTGCAGATGTCCAATGGGTGCTGGGGTAGGATGGAAGGTGTGGCCTCTCTGCCTACATATTGTGTCTGTCTCCTCTGCTGCCTTAGCCTTTGGGTCCGATCCTTTCAGCTCCACATACAGGCCTGCTGATCTTCTGACAGTGTCTCATCCAGAATAATAATATAGGGTTAACTTGACTGAGACGCACCTAGGCTCTCTCTTCCCACTTTGAGGCTAAAGGCAGCCGCCAGTGGCCATGACGCGAGCTAAGAGCAACTTGTCTCCCTCCCTCATTCTCCCTCTTCTACATCTGTAACCTACAACTCCCCGGAGAAGCCGATTCGTGAGCAGGGATCTCTGTTTTCTAAGCTTTGACCACCAAATAAAGCCTTCATCTCTCCCCAGACTACTGTCTCTTAGACATTGGTTTTCCATGGGATGTGCTCCCAGACCTGGAGTCGGTAACATTAGGACTCCCTAAATTATTGAAGATGTCAAGAGCTTTAGCTCATGTGGGTTATGCCTATCAGTATTTATCATCTGAAAACTTAAATCTGAAATCTAAAATGAATAACACTAAACCCATACACTAATAGAAATAGCATATTTTTATGAGAAATGATTGGGCATGGCAAAACAAAAACAATTTAGTGAGAAGAGTGGCATTATTTTTCATTTTTGCTAATTCTCATAGTATTTGGCTTGGTAGGAGATAGCTGGATTCTCATATTTACGTCTCTGTTGAGCTGTGATTTATTGTTCTGATTAAAGTATATTATAAAATCTGGTCTATTTTTGCCCCTTCAATTAAAATTTCAATACACGCTTATTCCCTAAATCCACCAACCCAAAATTTTGAAACAGTAAAACATGAAGCTCCTTGAGAAATAAAATGGACAAAAATTTGACTTTCATTGCCCCACAATAACAGGATTACCTTTTGTTCTCCTAATCATTTTATTCCCCTACATTCTATTCCCTTCTCCTCACCATCTAGTCAATGATTGACGTATTTCTCACCAACAATAACTAGTTCAACTTCTACTTAAAGGATAATAATACATAACATGAAAGGACAGACTTGATCCCTAATACTAATCTCCTGTGTTTTATTTATGTGCTATCAGTAAATTCAGGCATAGCAGCCCCATATGGGCAGGGGTACCACTTACTAGGTCTCACAAAGACCGAGTCATCATTAGCGCAGTTCTTACCTCAAGGAATACCCATTTTACTTACTCCAGTACTAGTAATTATTGAAACTGTTAGCCTGTGTAGCCAGTCTGTACCTCCAGCCATTCCACTTACAGCCAGCATTACTGCCAGACATTCAGTACACCTTATCACAGGGGATACATGCGTCTTACCAACACTCCTTTAATTCCATTTATCATCCTGGTTCTTCTAAGAGTTGTAGAATTTGCTGTTGCCCTAATCCAGGCAGATGTATTCACTTCATTAACTCCTAATGACCCACCAGACACACACATGCCACAAGTTAACCCAAGGCTCTGGCTACTAACGGGCAGTTTTGGACCCCCTGCTTACACCAGCATAAGTAATACAGTTTCATTTGAACTCAAACACCCCAGTTCTTCTAGGGTCATTAACAGACCTATTAACAGTATGTCAGTGATGATGAGATGTAGTATAAGAAAGAATTTTCCAAGGCCACTATATGCTAATTGTCCCAGAAGGCCTTTGATACAGAATAATCTTATTTGCTGTGTCTTTTGGGGGCTCTTTCTGATCTAGCCCTCAAGTCCACCCCCTATGCCCGAGCTAGGGCCATGCTGACCACTTATAGGCATTGACCCACCTCACCCCCTAGAAGCCTCGCTACTGAATACATTGGTCCTCTTAGCTTCAGGAGGATCCACTACCTGGGCTCACCACAGTTGGACAGAGGGGAACAGAAAACACATAATTCAAGCCCTTCTTTTCAATCCTATTTGGAGTTTATTTTACTCTTCTCCAAGCCTCAGAATATCCTGAAACATTTGGCTTCTGCATCAATTAAATTTCCATTTCACATCTAATCATCACTTTGGATCTGAAGCAGCTAGCTGCCTGATACTGACACTTCATTGACATTGTACAAGTACTACTCTGTGTCTCAATTTATTGATGAGCGTCTTCTTACCTTAGTAGTAAGTAGTTCAGTTGACTTGTGGTCAGTTCAGTACAATCCAAAGGAAAGCAATAAGCATGTCCTTTACTCTACTGAGCAATACCATGTTAGCCACTCTATTCATTACCACTGTGTTCTGACTACCTCAAGCCTTTACTATACCAGCGTTTGAGATGGTGGTGGTGGTGGTGATGTTGGTGGCACTGGGGATTGAACCCAGGGCCTCACGCACGCCATGCACATGCTCTGCCAGTGTGCTATACTGCCAGCCCGAGCCTTTACTGGATATGGAAAAACCAAGCCCACTCACTGCAGCTTCATCCCTTAGAATCAGCCCGCCTTGCATTCTCTATAAAATTCTTCCTTGTAGCCATTACTTTCTTGCTGTTTGAGCTAGAAATTGCCATCCTCCTCCTTCTCCCATAAGCATCCCAAACAAACAGTATGACCCTAATTCAACTGGAGTCCTGGTCCTAATCTTTATTTTAGTCCTAGGCCTAGCCCATGAATGGCTCCTGAAAGGACTAAAGAGAGTACAATATGGTAATTAGTTTGAGCTAAAACAAATGATTTTTGACTCATTACATTAGGACTTTCCTTGTAATTACCAAAATGCCCTCAATCTACTTAAAGATCATTATAGCTGATATTGCATCTCTCCTGAGCATACAAATTTACAGAGCCCTCCCTGCTGTGCCTAGAAGGGATAGCGCTGTCTATATATATTCTCAGGGCTATTACAATTCTGAATCTACCCTACACCTACTATTTCTAGGACCAGTTATTCTGATGGTATCTGCAGCTTGTGGGGCTGCTGTGGGCTTAGCGCTACTAGTCATAGTCTCCAACACGTATGATTTAGACTGCGCACAAAACTTCAGTCTCCTACAGTGCTAAAAATTCTCCCAACAGGTGTGCTAATTCTGGCTACAGCATCCTCCTAAAACTCTAATCTGAATCAACACCAATCGGCACGGCCTACTAATGAGCCTAGCCTCCTTGTCTAAATCAATCTACAATAATAACTAACTTCTCACTAACATTCTCCTCTGCCCTTTTCTAACACCAACAATTGACTCCTCCCCGAGTAATGAAGTCCGGGTCATCTATACAAGGAGCCAGACAGATAGGAGAATGGCACATCTCACTACTGGTCACTTTACACTTCAACCCAACTCAATCATTATCTCAAGACGAGGGAATCAAAGAGAATAGTAATAAACACAGTTTTAATCTATGTCTAGAATACAAACATCACTAAATTTTTTACTTATTCATTATCAAATGTCAGTATTACCAACTTCCTGAATCCAATAATCTTTTTTTGAGGGGGGGAGGGTCCTGAGACAGGGTCTCACTGTGTAGTTCAGGCTGGCCTCAAACTCAGTGTGATCCTCCTGCCTCAGCCTCCTGAGTGGTAGGATTAGACATGCACACCACCACACCCAGCTCTGATCCAATAATCTCCTGAGAGTAGCATGCACTATAGTTTTTGTAGTTATAATACTATTATATGGTCTCCTCCTGTGATTACCAAAAGCACATGTAGGGGCCAGGGATTTAGCTCAGTGGTGCTGCTGCCTGCCTTGCAAGCGCAAGGTCCTGAGTTCCATCCCTGGTACCAAAAAAAAAAGCACATGTAAGGCACCAAGTGCTGCATGTGTAGCCCGAGCAGCTTACTCACACACGGGGGCTATGGTGTGATGCTAGACCCACTAACAGGTCTCATAGCGTCCCCATTCCTTTCTAATTCTGTTTTCATTGTATATGTTTGCGATTCATCTTGAGGAATCGGTATGTGTGCGTACATTTCCTAGACTATCATTACGAGGCATCATCATGACAAATAGCCCTCAGGTCACTGACTGCTTGCCCAACAGGAAGTCAGATGGCATCAACAATCCCAGTGCTTCCCAGCCAGACCCCATGAAGTTTGGCCCTGACTGTTGCCCCCAGCTTCACATCGTCCATGTTATTTTGCCCAACTGTCTCCCATAGGCAAACTGTACTGTTCCCCCGACAGCAGCATGATGGCGAGTTTGAGCTTTAGCCCCAGCGATTTGCCGGAGAGTTCATTCTCTTGATCTAACCTTGCAGGCCCTCTCCCAGTATTTGGCACACTCATCCCAGTGTATATCCACTCTGCAGCCCAGTTATAGCAGTGAAGAAGTGTCACATGCCAGTGACGTCCCACCCTTCACACCAGAGAGTGCCTCGGTGCCCTTGCATCTTTCCCCCTCCGACCCTACCTCTAAATGCTAAAATCATCTTAGGATTTCTATACTGTCTATATAGTTTAAAGCAGGAGTTTATGAGCCTAGTAAGAGAAGCTAAACCCTCCTTATTTACTGAACTGCTTACTCTGTGCTGCCATATCTAATAACAAGGCTTTCTTAACTTTGAAAGGATAGAAGCAATCTGTTGGTTTTAGGAACCAAAAAACGGGTGCAACTCCAAATAAAAGTAATAAAGCCATTTTCTTCCTTATTTGTCTTATCACTTCTTACTCTTACTACACCAAGTGCAACCTGTATAAGACATTTACACAAAACAGTCCTTATTGCTGCTATGATAAATCCTCAGTCCTCTGTGCT